AGGCCAAATGTGTTATTCCAGTTTTCCACACGGAGCCTCCGTGTGAGCAGCTGATCCTGCCCGTGACGTCACGGCGAGAACAGCGGAGGTACCGATCCCCGGTGGTTCCCCACTAGGGGGGCGGGACTCGGAGGTCGCAGCCCCACCCAACTCGATGGGAAATAAAAACACAGCTTCAGAAAATCACCATTTTTGCATCTTCCCTTGAATCTTTACATTTTCATGTGTAAAAAGTACAGGTAAGCTAAATGTAGGCCTAAAATACAGTGATGGAGGAAGTACCCCACTCCACCAGAAGTCAGGCATTCAAATTGTATTCATATGTGTGTAAAGAATATCAGCAAAATGTGCTTAAAGAATTAAATATAAAAGTAACCTACTCATTATGCAGAAAAATAGTCCCTCCAAATGTGAAGATTATTATAGGCCTGTGATGTTTTAGATTGATATTAGTACTGCATTAAGGAATGTTTTGAACTAAACTCCTGTGGCCACGACCAGTTTTAAGTACTTTATATTCTGTGGCAACCATCTACTACAGTGCCTCATATTCTACAAGATGTTACAATTTTGAATTTTTACTAGATGAAGTTGTATGAAATGAAAGTACTCAAAGTACAAGTACCTAACATTTGTTTTTAAGTTGGGTACTTGAATAAATGTACTTAGGTTCATTCCACCACTGGCAAAAGGTAAATAAAGTATCATTAAGTATTCCTTTGTCAGGATGATCCCAGTGACCATCATACTGTATAACTGGACTGTTATTACTGGTGCATCAACATTCAGGTGGAAATCCTTTACTGGTGTAAGGCTACAAACAAAGAGTACTTTCAATACCGATTTATCGGCTTATTATTTGCTTGATCAATCATCATGAGGCTGCTGGTAGCGCTCGATGAAGTCAGTGAATCAGCAAAGTTATTTAGATTCATCTACAAAATTTCATTGAAATCCTTCTAGTAACGTTCAGATATTTCAGTCTGGAGGCTGAACGTGTGTCCTGGACGAACTATGATTAAACCAATGTCCAACTCCTCTTCAGACTCTGGGATTCACTATTTGCACTGTATTTCCACCTCAGTTCTGTAGCTTCCTTTACTCTAAATCCAAACTCAGCAGTGCTGAATGTAATGCCTGGGCGTACGCTGTGGAAAAGACAAACGTGACTGTTAATTGTTTTTTCATATACGTATGCATTAATAGTCTTGTGAAGTGCCACTAAAGCTCAGTGGTGTGTGCAGTGAGTACCTTTGGGGTTGTTGTGGAAAACACAGTTGTTAGCACATGTGTCGGGGTGGGAGTCCCAGAACGAGGAGGCACAGCAGCAGAGAGGAGGGAGATCCAGCTTCTCCTGAGACAGTCGCTCCTTCATCCGAGCTTTCAGAGCCTCAGTGAACCTGCTGACAGTTTCATCAGACGGTTTATCACGGCAGCTTCAGCTTCACATCCCCAGATTTGTTCAGTTTCAGACTTGTAGTCTGCCGACCCAACCAATGCTGACACAAGTGACATCACCTCAGGTGACCTATCAGAACTTACCCAGCTTTCTATGAAGCCACAAACGGGTTTTTATAATTTTTTTTTTTTTGCATCTGCAGCAGTAACGTCCCAAATCCTGCATACAGATTTTGATGTGTAAAATTGGCGGACAGTTTAGCTAATGACTCTCCATTAATTACCTTGCAGCAACTTTCCCTTTCTCTTCTCTTCTTCTCTGCAGCTCCATAACTCTCTCCTCCTCTTCAAGCTTCAGTCGCTCCAGAATCAGTAGCTCTCTCTCCTCCAGCTTCTGCCGGGCCTCAGTGAGCATCCGTACTCTCTCCAGCTTTCTCTCTTCCTGGCAACGAATCTGTTCTTTCTCTGCTTTGATCCTTCAATGAGAACAGGAACATTTGAGAAGAGAATTTTACTGAGACCAAGGCTCAAAGAAAGCATGCAATTTGCATTCATATGCTAGTGGTTTAGCTAGTTTGCATAAGCAGTACGTTCCCAACAAGCAAATGTTTAGCTAAAATAAGGCTAAATATAGCCAAAAGGTGATGGTACCACACAGATGCAATGCGGAGACAAAAAAGAAGAAAATCAATTAAGGGTTTGCTTTTGTTTTTCTGCTGTGAATACTTGTCACCACTCTTGCCCAATATAAAGTACTTTTTTCAATACAGAATCAATTAAATCAAAGAGGAAGTGAGGAGAAGGAAACTGGTGATCACTTGATGATCTGAGCAATCTTGTAGGTTCGCACCACCTCACCAACTCAGAAAGGTAGGGCGGTGCCAAACCATTAAGAGCCTTAAAAACAAAAATCAATAGACTAAAAGGAGGGAGGAGAAAGCGCTGTGGTCACATCACCTTGCTGTTCTCTTCAGGTGTTTCCTGTGCTGGTTGTTCTCCTTCACTTGCTTTCTCTCGGTGTTCATGAACTGACGGCGGTGCATGAGGAACTGAGACTGACGCTACAGAGAGAGGAGCTTTCTGTAACATCTGGCCTGACAGGATTGGCATAAATAAAGTTAAAGGTTCATGCATACAATATGTCTGACGTTTACCTGTCTTTTCAGTTCTTCTTGGTTAGGCAGAGGCCACAGGACCTGTGCGACTCTGAGGTTGGATTTAATACCAGGATCAGGCTGTGGTCTGTCAATACCCCACAGCGTATGTCCACTCACCTGAAACATATACACAGTCAAAACAGAGTCAGTATAAAGTCTGGTGATATATATTTTCTTACTGTTAACAAATCCAGTAACATAACTGATTCTTTTAATAAGTACTGTCTGTGTATCCAAAGCCTGATATAACTTGTTCCTTTGGCAGTAGAGCTCCAACGATGAAGAAAAACAATTAAAAGCATATCAATGACCCACATTGTTGCATTGGGTGACATTTTCCTTGATTACTATGAACACACACACACACACACACACACCATTGTTTATTTTGAGTAAATCCAACATGCTGTAAGTAACACATCTAACTTGTCCCCAACAAATGTACTATTGATAATATAGTTACAGACTCACTGGAATTGTTAATAGTCTTCTTTTGTTAGACAATCTTGGCAGAACAGTGTCAGGGGTTAGACAACTGAGTGAACCCGACTCTCAGAGGTGACTGCAATTACAAGCCAGTTGGGCCAAACACTGTTTAACCTGAGCAAATCCAATGCAGATGCTGTGTGTCAAACCACATATCTGCTCTTTGCCTGGGTGAGGATAGAGTTCAGGGATGCTCTATTTTAAGGGTAGTTTAGGCACTGAAATGGCATTGATTATTATAGGGTTCTGAAGATTTATGATGGGATGGCCCCATTATCTGACCCTCTTTGGGGTCAGATAATGGTTAAACCTTCCATATAAATGCTCTCCTGTTCTTTGGCACATTTAATTGTGTATTATTGATTTTACGCCTGTTTGAAAAATGTTTGCTAAAAATTAGTGCCTAGCTGTTTTAGATAAATCACTGCACCTATATAAAAAAAAAAACAACTATATATTTGGTAGCAGCTGTTTTTCAAATTTGGCCTCAGAAAGTAGGGAAATATTAAGATAAAGACTAACATATTGTTGGTTTTTTGTATAGAATTTCAGCTTTCACCTTTTCCTTGATACTACACAAATGCTTCAGCTGCAGTTTATGGATGGTAAAAATTAGGATTACCATGGATATGGTGGGGGTTAAAATTTCCCAGTCTTGCACAACAGGTAGGATATGCAGCACATAGAGTGGCTGCAACTGCAAACCGATCACAGTTAACACAAAACAGTAAAGAACTGACTGCGCATATTTCCACCACCTTTACTACACCTAAAGTATCATTACTGCAGCCAAATGATTTTTGACTGGAGATCCCTTTTAGATTAAACCCTGGCAAAAAACACAGAAACATACAAAGCAGCCCTGCATCAAGGTTAGGTAACAAAGTTTGAACTATCTGGTTTTATGAGTTAACGAGAGGAGGCCTTCAGGTCCTCGTAAGGACCAGCCCCTGAACTGAGACTACTCTTAATAACTAATGACATCTGGTCTATCTGGGTTTTTCAGCTCTGACTAGGCCAAAGTTAATTATTTACCCATAGTAAACACTATGGTTGGCATAAATAAACATCATTCCAACCATAGGGCTTTTAACTTTCAGCTCATCAGATTTTCCACCTACTGTCAAATTGCTAAATATTTCAAACACCAGGCTTCAGTATCAACTTGTAGGTGACAAACACACTACTGCACAACATTTCTGGTTAAAACTGTTGATACAATTCCAGTTACTGAGGAACAACTTCACCAAATTTCTATGTCAATATGAACCTCCAGTATATCGACATCTCTGTCTTTTTAATCTTTAGTTGTTTATATTTTTACAAATTCAAGTCTAGCTACATTAGCTACTAGTGGTTTTGGTTTGCACTCTAACCAAAAATGTACAGATAATTGCTGGACTACTTTAATACTAATGACATAGTCTGAATCTGATGATTATGAGCCAAAATCTAAAGTTAAATACATCACTTCCTGTAAGATTTCTAAGTAGTTTTAAGACTATTTATCCTCCATGGATATTAACACTAAGTACCACTGCATAGAGGGAGTTTATCAGATTCCAGCAGTTTGTGTAACATATAAAGTCTGTGTGTTTCAATTTGACTGAATTACAACTATGAGAAGAAGGTGCAAGTTTGAGACAACCTGAGTCGGGTGACAGCTCAGGAAGAATGTACTTTCTGTTCATATGCAAATAATTGAGTGTTATTTGTTACATCCCTTTTTGACACACAGTACAACTGAAATGACACGAAAATAAATCAGAATGCTATCATTGCTGCACACACTGAACCATAATGATATGCCATGTCTGGACTGCGAGTGTTCATTAACCTTCTGCTGAACGAGGGGACATTCATGTTGACTGGTGAGAACATGCTCATCTCCTTCATCATCGTCTTCCTCTCCTTGAACAACCTCCACCTCTTCTCCCTCTTCCTGCTCTGTGCTCAGAGATTCGGCTTCCTGCTAGGTCCAGAGAAAAACAAATTTTATTACCCCCTGAATGTGCAAAAATGCACACAGTTAAAGGAACTATAAGTTTTCAAAAGAGGAACAAGTGTGAGACACAGACACTCACATGTCTGGTTTGGCAGATGTTCCATCTGCCTCCAGGAAGGTCTGTCATCATTCCCTCATGGAGGATCATCCGACAGGCAGCCAGTCTGAGTCTGACCTGCCTCATCCCTTCACTAGACTGGAAAAATCATAGAAATAAATAATAGTCCAGATGAATCAACATCACATTATTTCACTCACACAAGGAAACAATGCAATCATTCTGATTGCCAAAAAAAGCACATACTGCAGCATTTTGCACTGCGCAGGAAAATACGAGCTGACTGTATATGACAAAGGATGACAGAGGACATGACAGGACAGCAGGACAGTCCTTAGCAAAGCCAAATGGGTCCCTGGTCTGACTTTGACCACCCACAGTCACAATAAGAGCCTGACAAATATTGGATTTTGGAGGCCTTGTGAATGGGATTAACTGTCCTGGCCAACCCCAAACTGTTACTGCAAAGTTCAAACTTTTCCTTTATTGGAACTAAGCGGCTAAACCAGTAAACAAAAAATGAGATTACTTTGCTATAACATAAATTCTTCAGTTATTATCTGGGGCGGCTATGCTATGTGATGTGATACCGCCTCACCTCCTGAGATCTCCCATCCATCAGCCTCTTTTGTATAGCACCTCCCGCAGACATCAGCCTCTCACTAGCAGCTACAGGCTGGGCCCAGACCCCATATTGTTTTTGTGTGATGCTCCTGTCAGGTTTCACCTGGACACAATGGCATAGTTTTACAGTGAGAAGGTAAATCAATTAGGGACAACAGCAGCATGGACAACCAGAGGGTTCAGCCATGCTTCAATGACTATAAGGAGTTTGCTCATTTAGCAGTGACATCATGAGTCTTAATAATTAGTTAATTGAGAGAAGATTACAATTGTGATGACCAATTAACTGCATATTATGGAAAATGCCCTAGTTTCTCAAATGTGAGGATCTTCTGCCTTGTTTTTTTGTCACACTGTTTTCTGAACTGTTGATCAAATATAACAAACAAGAAAAATTTTGAAAATAGTGCTGGGTATTTTATACTGTTCTTCAAAACTAAATAATCAATTATGTTCTCTTTACCACTGGTTCTGTCTCCACCTGCGGTCTCTTATTACAGACTTGAGCTCGTTGTGCCACACGGTGGCGCACTTCATCTTGAAATCGTCTAAGGCCCTCTTCATTCTCCCTCCTCCTTGCTGCCTGGAGCTCCTCAGTTAAGGAGGCAAGAGCCTATACCAAGACAGGGGAAGACACATCAACTGACAAACCCTAACCTGGTGTTGTGCCAGAAAGTGACTGCCGGAAACTGAATGTGGTCCACGAGAGTGTGCGCATTCTGTAAATAGGCATCTAAACCTTTAAAAATGATCAACTTTGTAATCATTCTAGTGATTCTGTGTATTTTTTTTTTACTGTAGAATAACAACCATCTAGTCCTTTCTACTAGTTTTTCTAAAGATCCAGTGCAACCAGAAAAATGTAGTATTGTGTAGTGATTTAAACCAATGTTTTTTTTCTCCTCAGACTACATTTATTTCACTCTTGTGGGTAATAAATAAAATATGATCAATCATGTTTTCCTTATTTCGCTTTTGTGGGTTATAATATAAATAAACATAAAATAATGAATAACACTTTCCTGTATGCCAGCGTTTTAATAAAAAAAAAGCTTCATTTCGCAGATATGTTATTGTATTATTGCATTGGAGTGTGTGGTATCCAAATCAGAAGAATGCAGGATGTCTGACAGCAGCCATCTCCAACGGTCTCTCAAATCAGAGCCTGTCAACACAGTCCAAGCTACAATTAGCTTTGATCTCAGCGCTAGCGTTAAATGCAAACTCACAGACGGGTGCTCCAGGAAGTCTTGTCCGTCCTCCACCCAGGCTCCCACCGCTACCACCGTCTGGTTCCTCTCGGCGAGGACATTGTTGGCTCTAGAAGGTCGTTGCTCCCTGCTCCGACCAAATGATGCTTTCTTTTTACCGTGTGTCGAAGTTATAACCCGGCTAGCACTCATAACTAGCCTAATTAGCCAGGCTAGTTTAAATTGCTGCTAAATAACTTACAGCTAAAAACAGATTCTTGGTATCCAGTTGGCGTGGTTATACATTGATGTACAGTGATTATTTCGTCTTTGTAATGCACGATATTTGCTAACAGTTTAAACAAGAAGAAAATTAGAAATATAAATCTCTGTTACAATGATCTATACACGGTAAACACCAACAAGTTAGTTTGAGTTTCGCTCATTTCGTCTTCTTTTACTTTCTGGTGTTTCTAAACACCTCACTGACGCATTATCGCCCCCATGTGGACACCGTGGAAATTCATTTTGCCTAATGGGACTCCTTAATGGTGGAAGGACAACAGTACAAGTAAATAATTAAAACACTTACAGTTAAACAAAGGCTTTGGGTGCTTAATTTCTTTATTTAAAAATTACACAGAATGAATGAAAATGAAAATAGGATTAAATTGCACTACACAGGGTGACAAGCCCATTTTCAAATGTAAAGATTACTCTGAATGTCAGTGGTTTTGACAGACTTGCGGAGGACATCTGTGCTTGGAGACAAGTCACACTGAGGAGAGACAGAAATGCAGGGGATTAAAATGTAAAAAATATAATAAAATCAGAATAACAGCATGCATCAGATAAATACATTACTTTATTCATCACAAAGGGAAATTACAGTAGGTATCAAACTTTATTTTACACCGTTTTGTGTTTTCAACTGCTGTTAAAAAAACAACTTATTTTGATAATGTCTATAAACAATGATGAATTCATCTGATCACTTGTTGCAATCATTTACTGAAAACGCCACTCTCTCTAATCAGGCCTGGACCCTTGGCTGCTCCTAAGGTGCTATGTAATATCAAGTCCAATATCAAGAGGAAACAGTATTGCATTGTGTCAGAACTTGCTGCAGTTCTGGCCACATCAATCTGTGATGTGAAATTAAAAGTCCTGCTGATCTTTCCCCACAGTCAGTTTTATATGACTCAGATTCAATCACTGAACTAAAAATTCTGGTATGTGGCACTGCTAATGGCAAATGGAAGCTATAATGTTGTGGAGAAAATATCTTTACCTTTAAATTCAGGGTTCATTTTGAGATACTGCAGCAAATAAAGCAATGTATTTTGTTCACGATGAAGTGCTCTGAAATTGCTATTGTTCAGATTCCTACCTCTGGCTGGCTTCTGTTGTATATCAACAATGGCCAAGGCTCATGGGTACTGTATTATTTTGAGCAGTCTGCTATGACAAACTGTCAGACAGAACATGACTTCTCAGAAATAGCTGAAATAATTAAAACTGGTCAACATCATATAAGGATAATCACCTTTATTTGGCCAAGTATGTTACACACAAGGAATTTGCTTCCGCTACAGAACCGAGGCAGGCATTCTGCAGCGCCAACTCAACCAATGGCTCTAACCATCGGGGGCAACTTGGGGGTTCAGTGTCTTGCCCAAGGACACTTTGACATGTAGACTGCAGGCACTGAGATTTGAAACAACCTTCCAGCTGGGAGACGACTGCTCTACCCACCGCACCACTGTCACCCCACTAAACCCTACAGAGTCATTACTTTATCCAGGAGAGTCCTATATTTAAAAATGCAGAACAGCAGCTCCTCTATTCCCATCAGCTGTCAAAACCTGCAGTAATATCATCGACTGGGGTGCGGCCACAAGTGCAGCTCTGGGATGACAGTTCTGCTGACAAGATGTTGGCCACTAGTGTGCATCTTTCATTTACTTGAAATATCTGACAAACTTTAAAAGAGCATCTGCTCTCTTCCTCTCTTTGACCGCTCTGACCTTTTGAAAGCCCCTCAGATACAAAAGGAAAAGCAACTTACCTGTATGGGCTTGCTAAGCTTGGTTAGTGCAGGCTTGTAGGTCTCCATGGTGACAGAGTCAGGACCAGTGATATCACTGTAACACTGGTAAACAACAGCAGCGATGCAGTGGACCTGGCAGTGGTTCAGTACTGATGAAATAGCACAGAGCAGAAGAATGCAAGGTCATCTATGGATTATACAATCAAACAATCAGAATCAATGATTCAAGTTTGTACCCTGCAAGTACTCAGTGATAAAGGTTTGAGTCTTTTATCCCAATGATAAAAGACTGTTTTGGTATCTTTAAGTGCACAAGCAACAAAATGACCAAATCAGGATGCAAGACTATGTGTGCTCATTGAGTGGAGTGGAGCCTAATGGCACTACATCATTCAGCTGGCAAATGCCTCTGTCCAAAGCAAACCTGGAC